CTTATTAAATCCATATATTTAGTGGTCTATTGACCCAATTACTTCTTTCAATTAATTAATCTTTTTATGTAAGGTTTCGGTTGAAGTGAAAAAGCTAGTGCCACGAGCGTTTTTCATTTTAACCAAAATTTTACATAAAAAGATTAATTAATTGAAAGAACGAATTTGGTCAATAGACCACTAAATATAATGGTTTTGATTTTTTTTTTCATTTTTATATTTCTATCATACAAAAGGATAAACTTTCTCTAACGACAAATTAAGTTATTTCAGTTTTTTGAACTCTTCTACTACATTTACAAAATGGAGGGTCAGAAAAATTTAAATAAAAACTAAAGTATTATCTCTTGACCTATTTAACAAACAAAAATCGACAATTAATAATAATTGAGGTTTGGAAGGGTTGAGGTTCGATCACCAATCGAAAAAACATCGCAAAAAGACACTTTGTGTACACGTAAACAATTATTTAATTTTTTTAACATTACCTAAATTTATTTTTCAGCTACTTTATTAATTTCAATACTTCCCATATTATAAATTTTGCTCGGTTTGCCTCCTAAATAAATTTGAACCATTTGTTTCGAACTTAAACCTATATTATCCGTTGGCAGTTTGTATTAATAATTAATTATTCTTTTCATTATTTTTTCTCGTCAAAAATATAGTAGGCTAGAAATAGAGCTTAACGTTAATCAAAAAGATAAAACAGGTTTATTAAATGATCAAAGGAGAAATGAAATCATCAAAAGGATGAAAGAATTTTCGTTTTCCGTAGGTGTCCACATTGATCCTAATTCGTTTATGGGTAATTAGCTTTAATGAAGCAAATCGTTTTCGGCGTTGGCGTTATAACAACATTTATCCAATTATTTTTAATCGCTTGGAGGGCCATTAGTTTGGTGCAATTTGCCAATGACGATACGTCGCACCAATTTAAATCATTAGTTTTCATACGTTTCGAATCATATCGGTTTACATCGTTGGACCGATTAAAACGGTGTAAAATTATGCACCTGCCGTATCTCTTCGTGTTATTATTTCAGGTTCTAATTAACCCTAATGTGGGGAACGGTGGTTTTAGGGTCGGTATTCATCAAAGATTCGGAATAAATTTTTTGCCAAGAGTGGGGTGTTTTAATATCGGACAATATTTAGAATAATACGGTGAGGGAATTGTTTTAAAATTTTTTTTTTTTGGATTGAACTTTATTAAGGACGTTCTGAAGAAAATATGTACAATCTAAAATCACAGAAGTACGTGGCTAATATGCAATCCAACGCGATTAAGAATACGCCATACACGGTTGACACACGGCCACCTGCTCTTGGGCCAAAGCCCGCGCAGGTGTCCCTTATGCAGAGAAAGGTTGCTCGATGTGTCCCACATACTGGAAACATGCCATGCCTTGGCTCCCTACAGGGAGCGCGTAGGCATGCCATCCAATCTGAAGAAGGTACTCGAGCACTGCAGCGGGTTTCAGGGTCCCCTGTTCCGATTTTTGCGGGAAATTGGGGTTTTTTATTGTATATAGTATGTCTCATGTGTTGTGTGTCTATATGTTTGTCTGAGTGCATGTATTTATTAGCGTGAATGGCGAGGGGTGAGGTGAAATATAACATCATCATCGCCCCTCGAACGATGAGAGCGTATGAGTATGTGTTCGGGGTCGATGGCGGAATATTTATAAAAGTACTCCATCGACCCCAATCTAGTTTAGTTCGAGTATAGGTCGGTGGAGGAATATCAAGTACTCCACCGACCAAACGGAATGAGTGTATTGTATGGATGTATTTATGTGTATGAATGTATTTATCTGTATGAATGTAGTGTTTGTAAATAGAAGTGTAAATAGAATATTGACTTGACTTAGCTTGGGGCTGAAATGACCCAGATGTCGGAAGCCCCAGTAAAAAAAAAAAAAAAAAAAAAAAAATGCACGAAAAACTCACTATTTTTCGTGGTCCGCTTGACCTATTAATATCATTCAATTAATTAAGGTTTTAAGTTGAGATAAAAAAAGTCAGCTTCACGAGGGGGATTCGAACCCACGACCTTCGGCTTGATACGCCGCTACTCTACCACTTGAGCTATCGTGACTTCGATCCCCTCGAGCACAACTCCACATCTCAAACGCACCTTTTGAATTTTCCCACCTTTTTGCCATTTTTCAAATGTCGTGTAATCTATTTGATTCTGGGCGACAAGTGAAATGGCCACGGAAAGCTTTAGTGAAGGTATACTTCATTTTAACTTATTAAATTCACTAGCGTTCGTGGTCCGCTTGAGCTATTAATATCATTCAATTAATTAAGGTTTTAAGTTGAGATAAAAAAAAAGTCAGCGTCAAGAGCGGGATGCGAACCCACGACCTTCGGCTTGATACGCCACTACTCTACCGCTTGAGCTATCTTGACTTCGATCCCCTCGGGCTTGAGATGGGAAGTTAGTGCGTGTTTAAATTAATTACACTTTTTATTTAAGGACTTGGTTGAGATGACTAAGTTCGTGTGACGTTATTTTAAATTATTAGTATACATTGAAAGGATTTTTTATATATCAAAGAAATATCGGGTTGTCCGGAAAATAATGCAGGATTTTAAGTTTTCATTAAAAAAAATCTATATAAAATATTCTGTTTACGTTTACAGGATTAAATGATATTGTTTGTTTACCTCTGTAGCATTCCGCTACTTGGAAATAATTCAGTCATCCTTATAATGTCAAAGCGAGAATTTCGTACGATTTTCTTTTACGAGTTTAAACTCGGCCGAAGCGGAGCCCAAACGGCTAGAAACATTAACCAAGTCTGGGGCGAGGGTTGTGTTAATGAGTGCACTGTGCAAAGGTGGTTTAAAAAATTTCGGGAGGGAGATTTCAGCCTTGAAGATGAAGAAGGTCGTGGAAGGCCTTCCTCTCTTAATGATGATGTTCTGCGATCAGTGGTGGAAGAAAACCCCAAAACAACTGTTCGAGAACTTGCAGAGCAACTCAAAGTCAGTAAAACGACCGTCGCTGACCACCTCAAGGCGATTGGAAAAGTGAAAAAACTCGAAAATTGGGTTCCACACTCATTAAACGATCGCCAAAAAATCAGCGCTTTGATGTTTGTGCATCACTTCTTTGTCGAAACAAAAATGACCCATTTCTGGCCAGAATTGTTACATGTGACGAAAAGTGGATTCTCTACGATAACACTAGACGTTCTGGACAGTGGCTCGACAAAGGAGAAGCTCCAAAGCCCCCAACTCATCAAAAAAAGGTAATGGTTACGGTATGGTGGGCTTCATTTGGTTTAATACACTACAGCTTCTTAAATCCTGTCGAAACCATCAATGCTGAATCATACTGTAACCAAATTAATACCATGCATCAGAAATTGGCAGTAATGAAGCCCTCTTTGGTCAATCGGAAAGGGCCCATTTTGTTGCATGACAACGCTCGACCACATGTGTCACGTGTAACGTCACAAAAATTATTGGAGCTTGGCTATGAAACTTTGCCTCACCCACCCTACTCTCCGGACCTCTCGCCTACTGACTACCATTTTTTTAGACACCTGGACCACTACTTACAACACATAATATTCAAAAATCATACGGAACTGGAAAATGCATTTATTGACTTTATCAATTCTAAAAATTCTGAATTCTACTCAGACGGAATTAATAAGTTACCAACACGTTGGGAGAAATGTATTGAGAGTATGGGAAATTATTTTGATTAAAGAACATTGCTTTAAAGTAACTAGTTTCTTTTTTTTTTGTTTAATACCAAAATCCTGCATTATTTTCCGGACAACCCAATACAATCAAATTCAAATCGGTGTTAAATTAATATTGAGTTGTTTCGAAATAGACCATAACTTTTTCAGAATAGAAAAATCAGAATTGTGTGAATTTTCCAAATAAAGAAAAATTGTCGCTTTCGTAATTATTAACTGCTTTCGTTCTGAAAGTTTTTAATTATTCGTTGGTTTCTAAATCGTGCGGAAACATAGGACCATTATGTTAATGCCATCCCAGAAGAATTCACCCTCGCCTGAGCTTTAATATTCAGTTTGCAAGGTAATGGGGTCTCTGTCAAAGTTTGAAATACCATTTAGCGTTGAGGAAGACTAAGTTTTCGAATGAGGGCAAGTTGCGGCGACGGTCAAGTCCCTCCAATCACCTTAATTACCATCTTCCTCAAGCCCATCATAATAATAGATAGCCTTGTCTGCAAACATCCCTCGTACTCGTGAGCTGTTGTTCACTTGTATTAATTACTGCATTCTATCCTGCAGTCCTTATAAATAGTCTTATTACAGCTGGATGAAGTGATTAACCGAAACTTAATTTTAATACTCATAAACGATGTTACGAATTTGTTTTATGAAATGTACTTTGTACATTGTACACGACTAATTGTAAGATAAAACTTTACTAATTGATGTTAACGAATTGTATGAATATTTATCGTGTTAAAAATAATCTTTTTTGCACGAAAATATATCTTAATATTTTTAAACAAAAACAATTCAACTTACACAGAATTCATTAAATAAACAAAAATAAACTGAAAATATTAAAATTAGAGTAAATTTCTTTTAAATATGGTAGTTTTTATTTAAAAAAACAGCAATAGATTGATATATAATTATGCGATCTTAATGAATTTCCATATTAATTTGAATTTTAGCAGTATTATTTTTTGATTTAAAAAAAAATAATTTTATAGCTTATCGTTTGGAGACGGATTTAAATTACTGGAGAGACGTAGAAAGTATTGGAGAATATTACGTGATTGTAAGTGATGCATGTCACGTTCACATCCTAAATGGGCCAAATGGCCCCATCCTGCATAAAGGAACCTGGGTTAATACCCGAGCCTCATACCCTCTGTCAACCCTTTTGTAAGGAAAATCGCGTCGGTCCACCGGCAACCGGGGATTTGGCCTGTATTATCCCAGCTTAAACTGGGAGGATTATAATTTATAAAAAGTTTTAGGATTACCCACCTGGAGTAGGAGGGGCGCATTTGTCAGTTGTGTTGGTCACAGGCACACTGTGGACTCGAGAAACTTCGACCACAGACTGGAACTTGTACAAAGAATGCCTTATATCTTCCTCTGGCAAGTCCTCCGGCACGTCTAGGACTAAAACAACGAATGTCTTTTGTGGTCTGCATGGTATCGGCACCTTAAAAAAAAAAAATTTTTAAAATATGTTAAGTTATACAATTACAAATGCAACGACATTAAACTGTATCGATGAATTCTAAAATTGAGTCTAAAATTGAGTCTAAAATAGAGGAAACCACGGAAATTATAAATTGATGTACGCAAGCGACAATAAAATATGTAAATCTATATATAAAAAATTTAGATTTGAGTTTGGTAAAAACTCTGATAAACAAGTATGTTCATAAGGCCTTAAAAAGAGCTGATAGAAATCGACTATTCGATATAATGCAAATGGGAATTGATTGAAAATGTAATTCGCTAAAGTTTAACGACGAGTTTTGTCCGACCAGAGAGTACCAATTTTGCTCAAATTGCTGACAATATTTCCAAACTTTGTTTTCACAGCTAAATAAGTATAATAATAATGATTACAATTTTTGGATTAATTAATTACACAATATCTTTCCATAAACGAGATAGGCCTCACGATGATTTTTTGCTTAATGAGTAGAGTTTTTATTCGTTGAAAAGTACTGTGTCATTACTTTTGATGAAATATTATTTATTGTATGTGCACAACGCCATTAAGATAAGAAAATTTAATTCTTAAAATTATTCGTAAATCGTGAAATGCGGTCGTTATCGTGCCAACGTTTCGATCTTTATTGAGGTCATCTTCAGGGCATTGGATTTACAAACATTGTTTAAATTTAACAAATGTGGAAAAAAGTGAATTTATACAATGCAAAAAATATTTTTTATATTCAATGAAAGTATTTCAAAGTAAGTACATTTTGACTGAGTAGAAATACTTTAATAATAAACAATAAAATAAATACTTTCTTTATCGTGTCAACGTTTCGATCTTTATTGAAGTCATCTTCAGGTCCTGGGATTTAGAAACATAGTTTAAATATAACAAATACAGGTAGGATGTGGAAAAAAGTGAATTTATACAATGCCAAAAATATTTTTATATTCAATCAAAGTATTTCAAAGTAAGTGCATTTTACGTGAGTAGAAATACTTTTTTTTTTTTTTTTTTTTTTTTTTTTTTTTTTTTTTTTTTTTTTTTTTTTTTTTTTTTTTTTTTGCGTTATGAACTATGCATATTAGCCATGTGACTAGAAATACTTTGATTGAATATAAAAAATATTTTTTGCATTGTATAAATTCACTTTTTTCCACATCCTACGTGTATTTGTTAAATTTAAACAATGTTTGTCAATCCAAGGCCCTGAAGATGATCTCAATAAAGATCAAAACGTTGGCACGATAAAGAAAATGTTTTTCTGAAACCTACATCACACCAGACCACATCTCACGATTTCCGAATAATCATCGAATAACGGTCACTAATCACCACACTTTTCTTTAAATTATATTACATACACATAATGATGATGCAAATTAAAATACTTTGGTTATAATACTTTCATTGCTAAAAAATAATGTACTAAGGCTAGAACATTTGGAATTTTTATGATTTTAATAAAATAAATTGAAATCAATTAATACACCTGTTAAACGCAGTAATAATTCAAAATTAATATAATTTTACTTTAAATTGATTTGGTGTTCGTAATAAAAAAAATGAAAATTCGTTCTAAAATGGAATGATTCTATTTTGCAGCTGCTCTGCTGAATCTACCCAGCTAGCAACAGACTAAGCCATGTCGATATCATTGACGTCAATCCGTCGGTCGCCTCCTTCCATAAGGATTCGGAAAGTAAGAAGATTGATCGCTTGTACAACGACGACAGTTGACAATGTGCGTAACGATAATGGATTTTTTTGTCTTTCCAGACACCTAACGGAATGTATTACGTACTTTTATGAAAATGCGCTCTTATAGGATGCAAAAATGTTAACCCTTATCCTACGAATTAGCCAATAATTGTTAAATTAAAGCGTGCAATGAAGCTTGCGAAAGTACTGTAATTGTGTAATTATTTACATTAAATAATAGAAATAACAATTTAAGCTTAATTAGCAAAATTATTTGTATATAAATGTGTATTGATGAGTTGTATTTAAGAAAGTACTAAATCCCGCATTTGATCATAAATACAAATGGTAAATCTATAAAACTTAGTAATAAATTTTTCGTTAAGTACAAGCAACGTAAAACGAATTTAGATGGATTTATATGACTTTGTGACATATAAGCGCTATCTGAACAAGTGATTCTAATAAGCAAGTCATTAAAAGACACGCCCCTTGAATATTTCGATACTCATGAAAAACAAAGCAGTGACAAAAGCCGTGTTCTGAATTATTCTTTGTTACTTTTGCACGTATTACAAGAACTTTGTTGTATAAACTTCAAAGGATGTTATAACATGGTAGTCAAGTTTCTCTGGCAAATGACTTACTTTAAGAGAGCCTTTGTTCCTTCTCATTTTGACTTTAAATGGTCGGATGTCGTCAGACGAGGGAACAATTGTTCAGATGGAGAAGGGTTGCCTATTGGGTCTCGGGTGATTAACCATCATGAGTCTGGGATGCGCCACACCACTGACTCATACTTGCTTTTCTGTTTGGACGGCAATGATGGGGTCATTACTCGGGGCGGCAATCCTCTGGGGATCATTAGTTTTTATTTCTCGAGCTGAAAGCTAAATGAAACGTTTTAAGGCAATAAAACACAACGCCCGTGCATTGGATGTTGGCCTTTCACAATGAATTAAATACTTTCTTCTACTTTTTGTTGTTGAAAAGAGGTCTAAACAAAAGAGAAATCGTGTTCTTTTGTTTGAAAAAATAAATTATCATTATATTACATATAAGATTCTCGCAAATTATTGTACTATACCATATTAGTGACTTATTAATTACAGAAAATGACTTTTTTTACTTATGAAAACCACATCTGCCATATATTTTAAGGGCAAAACGTGGGAGCAGCTCTTTCACTTTTTTTCTCAAATTTTTCTAATCAATCGTTAGATGTCTTTCTTTTCTGCTTTTATCCTCTCTCTCACGATTTCTTTCTTCATCTTTCTCTTTCTCTTGCTCTTTCATTCTACGCAATTCAACTAATGATCATTACTTATCTCACTCCCGCTTATAATACATCAATAGTTATCACTTTATCTCTCTCACTTTTTTTCACACCCTCCATTGATCTATCGCTGTCCATTGTCTTTACCTTTCTTTTTCGCTCTCACCCTCTATGGCACTTTTCCCCCCTATCTTTCAACATTTCTACTCCTTTCTCGAGATTTCTCTATCTCACTCTTTCTTTCTTGTTCACTTTCTGACTGTCAGTCTGTCTGTCTGTTTGCCTGTCTGTCTCTTTATCTGTCTGTCTCCCTCTTTCTCTCACTCTCTCTCACTCTCTCTCTCTCTCTCTCTCTCACTCTCTCTCTACTTCTACTTCTTCTTCTTTCAAACTATTGTTCGTTCTATCTTTTGTAAATTTCTGTAGTACAGTTTCAGCGTTCAGGGTTACTCCACGCACTACCGCCTATGAGACACTTCAGAAACAATAAAGTAGCAGTTAGTAAGAGTTATGCAACTAATTAAATCCAACGTCAACTAATAGGTTGGCCCATTTGCATCCCAACTTTTGAGAATAGTAGCAAATAAGGTTTGTAAATTTTACCAAAAAAGCTGTCGTTTTTTTTCTTTTCTTTTAATGGAGATTATTACAATTTCGACACAGAGGCAATCTGTAAACGTGCTTGATAATGAAATAATATAACTGAAATACTATTAACTGGACATAAAAAAATGAATTATTGGTCCGACAATCAGCTTAAATAACAGAAGAAACATCACAAATCTTCAATCCAATATAACATCAAAGCATGCATTATGACTTTAAGCGGTTTAAATTGCCATTTACATACAAAGAAAAAATACAACAATTCAACGCAATCCACGGTAATTGTTGCTGGAACGTCGAACAGAAACCGTTATGAAAAGTACGCACTTGTTATTTACAGGGCATTATAATGGATTTTAGGTACTTTTTGAGTTTGTCCGCACTGGGTCTTTCTCATTGTAAATAAATAGCTACAAAATTATTATACGTTTTAATTATCTAATTCGCGTTCACCTCAGCTCCGTTATTGTTATCATCAATATAATGTTATATATTTTACCATATAGTAATTTGAAAAAAACATGTTAGAAAAAGGTGTTTAAAATAGAGCCGGTACGTCAAAAAAGAACAATACTAAAAGGTTTTAATTTTGCTCCCCTGAACGTGATTCACCACTTGTTGTGGGGTGATAGCACCTCCACCCCTGCGCAGATTTTTATCCAGTTAAATCACTCCCAGATGGAGGCATTTTCAGATTTAGGATTATTGTCGGAAACGAGGAAGGGGACGGGTTGACAGCTACATCACATTTAATGGGGCTCAGGTGCAAAAGACGCAGATATCTGTTTCGGACAGTTCCTCTCTAACTTGTACAATTAATGCTAGTGGTAGGTGGGAGTATGAGTCAACAGACTTATGTGTAAAATAACTGAAACTGAACTTGAACGGGCAACCAGGGGAGCTATAGAGAGAATGAAAAAACATAAAAAAAGAAGATAAAAAAAGTAAAATATAGGCGATGAAAGAAAAGAAAATGAAGAAAGGTAAAAGACGAAAAATAAAGAAAAATGAAGAAAATGGAAACGGGAGAAAAATATATATCCAAGAGAGATAGAGAAGAGAGAAAAAGAAAGAAAAAGAGAGAGAGAGAATGAACAAACATTTTATATTTTGCTAATTGATCGTGTTCGATTTGGGCTCAGTAATTACTGAAATGAAATTAATAGAAAGACAGTGATAAATACAGAAAAATAGAAATGTAGCGCTAGAATAAGAAGCGGGTTGAACGAGTTATATGCAGGCAAACGTGCAGAGATTGACGAAGTACTGGAAAATACGTTTATTTGTCTGTTGTCTTTTTTATTTCCGAGAAATGAATAGATTTCACGACATTTGAAAAATGGTAAAAAGGAGGGAAAATTCGAATGGTGGGTTGAGATGGAAAGTTAGTTTCCGGGTGGATCGAAGTCACGGGTTCGAATCCCGCCCGTGACACTAACAGTTTTATCTTAACCAATACCTTACATTAAGATTAATTAATTGAAATAATTTATTTACAATCATGACTTCGTTAAAACGTGTCCTGCTCAGGTAATAATATTTATTTATATTTCGTAGAGTTATTTGTACATAAAATGAAATTAATTTGCCTTTTTATGAAGAAAATAAAGATAATAAATTAAGCATTATTCGAATTCTTCTCTTGTCAATATTATTTAAAGAAATTGGCAAAGAGAAATATTTTATTATAAATAAGGATTTTTAATGGTTTAGTTTAACATTGATTCTAACCGACTGCGGATTTCTAATAGAATTATCACAGAAGAATAAGTAGTTCTGAGGGGATCAAACCACCTGTTGATAGATGCCGACTTAGCTGGTTTAACTTTACCTTCAACTTTCCATTCATTGATTTATCTAATGATGTCGAGGCTTTTAGAACTTTTTAAAATTTAAATGCGCGTACATTTGTCTTGCTCTTTTAATGAAATATATCAAACTGCCTGAGGTAATTAGTAACATTCAAGTATAAAACGTACTCGCTTGTTTTATTTTTTGAGCAGGACGTAAAGTACTTATCAATATTGCTCCCTATTACTAGCTGTATTTGACGGTTTAAATAATAAAAATACAATAAGCTGGTTGTTTTTAATTAAACTTTAATTATAAAGTGAAAAAGTACGATAAATAAAAATCCAGGCTGTGTGTAGTGTGGTCATTTTTAATGAACTGGCTGAGATAAAATTGTTATAGCTAAATCTATTTCTTCACAAGTCACGAATTATTTTAGATATTATGTTTTTAATTTAAAAAATGTTTTACTCATTTATATGAGCAGTTAAAAAATCATCGTAATGATTTCAGCGGTAAAACAATTCTTATCCTGTAATTAAAACTTTTTTTATCGGCAATAACGTTCTGCAAAGAGACTAATATCGAAGCGAGAAAAAAAGTAACCGGGCTCACCTTTTTGTAGAACCTCGCTCCTGTAACTTTGTGGAATCCCTTCTTGTAGGTGGCCTGGTAATCTTCTGGGTCGGCGAACTTGAAGAGGATCCCGGTGGCCGTCTTTGTGAGGGAGAAAGGCCCCTTGAAGTTCATCTTATCCAGGATGGTGGCCGCTTTGTCCATGTTTAGATCGTGGCTGGGGGTGAGGAGGAAAGCACCCCTTGTCAAAAAGTAGCCTTCGACCGACGCCTCGCTTTCGCTATCGCTTCCGCCTCCTTTAGTCATAGCCGCTGGATCTGATTGGAAATTAAAACAATAGATAAAATCAAAAATATTCCATTATACTTGAACAAGGATTGTGAACAAATGAAATTTTCCAAAAAGAATTTAACAAATAAAATGTATCATTTCACTGATGATCAAAACATCCAAGTAGTTTGTCCGTTATTAAAATTGAACTTTTTATATTTACATTAGATAAAAATATTTCAATTTTTGTCATGTAAATCTAATTTCTCAAGAATCATCTAGTAATTGTTTATAATGAAATAATTAAACATAAAAAATCATGTATGCTAAACGGTATCTTTGTTAGTTTGGTAGAAAACTCCCTCCATGGAAGTGTACTGTCATCAATTCATTATTATCTCCAAAAAATAATAATAATTGACTTCATAAATAAAAATGAAACGACAGAAAAAATCAAGTTTCTTTTTAGGGTTTTATTTGCGATAATTCCTAACAGAATCACACATATTTTATATTGAAGCTAGAAGCGGTTCGCTATGAGATATTAATTGAATATTACTAATTTAAACCTTTTTTGTTCAAACCTATACAATTATATATAAATTCTTTACGTACATTCGATTTTATAATAAAAATGCGATAAACAAGTTAAAAATTGATTCAGAGAAACGTTAGATAATGAAAGAAATATTGGTTTTGTTTTTGGGGCACAAATTCATCAATTTTTGGTAATGAAGTAGTAGTTTACTATTAAAAAATAAGTTCAGTATAATATCTTTTTTAAAATTTTATTTATTTATTTGTAATTATTTCAATGTTAAAAAGTAGAGTTCAGCTTAAAAAATTGGATTAGATTTTGGATTGGTTGAATTTTTGAGAAAACTTTTATTGAAAAGTGAATAAGTGTGTAATTCCAATTTCGGGTAAAATTTAAAAAGTGTGCTGAGATCAGCATCGTTGGTGTCGAAACTTCAGTCCATAAGTCTGACCAATAATATTTACGAAATGTATTTTCACACGATTTTGTTAAAATTATTCCTTAATACAACGAAAGTTTGCCAGATTTTCAAAAATACCTACATTCTCATACACACTTCAAACGTTTGCTAATGTGAATGTGTGTAACTCATTCATTACATTATACATTGATTATAGTATACAGGGTAAGTTTATCTTCTGCTGCACCCCTATATTTTTTATTGGGGCGTTGCTTTTTGTGAAAAAAACCCGAGATACGTACATTTTTGTTCCTTGTCTTGTTTTCATATAACTCAACAGATCAACGGGATGCTGATAAGAACTCATGTATCTGAAATGGCAAATATTCATCATCGTACAATAAATTTCGTGAAAGGATATTTGACGCTGGATTCAACAGTCCAAACGTTTTTAGATTTTGAGCAACCGTTCTCGTGTTAATCGCAAAAAATTTTTTCAACCCTGTTTTTCTATATAAAGTTTTTTCCAAGTTATTCAACCACCCATCAATTTATTTATATATCATTGTGATCGAAATTTAATTACTTGCTTATGGTACTGAAAGAAAAATTTCGCAACAACTTTCAAACTAAATCGATTAACAGGTCGCTTTTGTGGATCATTAGAGCGCAATTCAATCTGGTGCAAATTTTTGTCCACTTTTCCTAACTGCAGTATCATGTTCAATTTTTCCTGTAATGTATCATACTTTCTACTTCCACACTAAGTCCAAGAAAGTGCAAACTAAACATTATATAGTATGATGGTTTTTTCTATGAGTGTTAAAACGTGTTAAATACTTTCGTTTTCTTTTTGGATTATTTGTAAGCACCAAAAGTCTAAGAATCAATTTGTATTTACGTACAATTATTTATGTGCGAAATATTTGCTTTAAGTTGGTATGTGTGAAACATAATTTGCTCCAAGCTGAAGCGCGAACAAATTAAAGTTTTCTTTTTTAGCCAACGGCCCAATAAAAAAGATAGGGGTTGAAATAGAATTTAAACACATTCTGTATTATTATCGAACACTATGCCATAAGCATGTATTATTTAAACAACAAGTGAAAGAAATCATTTATTTTCGGATAGTTGAGACAGCTCTATTTTTGGATTTATTCTAACATTTGTCCAAAACATTATTTATTAAAAAGTGACATATTAAATCAGACGATTTTGCAGTTGAACATCACTGTCAATTTGGGTGCAGATTTACCGTTTTCTGTCTGTTTTCACATACCATTACGTTTAACCGAAAGAGGGTGGATAACAAAATTATTGCCCCAAAGATTTACATTGTACTTATATATTTTATATCAACTTATTTCCTTAAATAAATATTATTTTTTTTATTGTTATATTTATACAATCTGTATATGGACGATACTCTGGACCAACTACAATCAATAATTTTTAAATGGCACGAAACTATCATTTCTAACGTTGTTGTATGAAGCACGTACATATATTAATTTTGAAACGACACAATATCATATTTCAACAACTATCATGAAACTTTTCCAATAGTGAATGTGGAAGCGTCTGCGATGACTTTCACTGATGTTTCCAGGCAGAATAATGGATGTAGGAAGGGAAATATATATTGGTCGATAAACACCCTCCTCGCTTTATGGTTTTGTTTAATACAATATATAATAGAGTCAACATTATATTGAAATGCATTGTTTCCAGTTATCCAGAATTTCTCTGTTCAAAATTAAAATGTGAACAGTATGGAAACTTTATTTTTAGTACTAGTGACAGGTTATTCCAATGTGACCTATAGATTGCTAAGTTTGATCGAGATTAATAATGAAATTACTAAAGAACTTTGTTGTTTAAACATTATGAGATAAATACAGATTTTGTTTTAGCTGTTTTTTATTACAACCATTTTTTATTAGTCGTATAAGCGTGCCTAAAGATGGATGGTTTGAACCCCAACTGAACTGGAAAAGTTGTTAAAAATTTATTTTCCTTGATATATTGGAAACTTCAGCAAATAAACAATGTTCGTCATATTAAATTTATTGGAAGAGAATACATGAAATGAAACGAAATGAAATCACTCGATACTTCTATGTATGTTATCAAAACGTGCTGGTTTTCTTGCAAAGAGTTACCTTGAGGAAGACTAGCGGTGGACATGAGGCAAGCTTCTCGATTACTGCGTGGCTCGTTTTGTTTTTTTCGAAGGCGGTGCCCAATTTCAAGTGATCCTTCGGCCGTGCCCTGTGCTATTGTTGTGCATCCCCACTCTGGACCGTAATTACGTCCGTATTGCCTAAAAAGTCGAAAGGAAATCAAAAGAAATATTGTAAAAAATATATAACAATAGAGAAACGGTTTTGCCTTTAAAGGGAAAGGGAGGGTGAGCACGATTTTCAAACTTATTACGAAATCACTCTACCCGACTGGGGAATGAAGGGAACCTATTTTTCCAGTAGGTAAGTCAATATATTTTTACAGTAAAGATATAAAACCAATGTACAAACAATGGTTGAGAAATTATATTAATTTTAGATTTCAAACATAATCAAACATTGAGATGTTTTTGTAAGTATATGTCTGGCGAGAACTGTAGTTTAATTGCATCCTATCTTGTGAGTGTATTTATTAATTTAAAAGTAATAACTTTATTTCCTTCTCGATTCTGGATTATACAATAAAACAGTGAGCGATCAATGTTTAGCTCTGATACTTCTAAGTATACTAAATAATCCAAATATAAAAATTAAATTCAAAGATCATTCAAGAAAAGCGCCCGCGTGAAACAACTTTGTCTCCAGACGTCTCCAGCACAGAAACAACACTAAAAGCTTCACAAGCACGTTCACACGAATTATACAAACTGCACACTCGGGCGTTAGGACAAAGTTCATACATACATGATAATAAAAAAGGTATATTTTTTATTAGAACGATCTTCCCAATGATAGGAGAGCGCAATAACTTAAATTGCAACCCTGGTGTTCAAAAATAAAATGCTCTGTGTAACGTAGACTTACCTGAAGACCGTTATCAGTTCCTAGCCGAATGAAGGGTGTTGGAAGAGTGTAAGGTTGATGGGGACTTGAGACAATTATTCAATGAGTGTTATTGACATTTTGAATGGTAAGGATTGATACGGTTTAAATATCTGATGAATGCATTAAAATAAATGAACTATCTCGTAACAGAATTCAACTACGTATAAATAACAAAAATAACTTCACTAATTTCGTGGTCCGTTTGACCAATTAATATATTACAATTAATTAAGGTTTTTTAGTTGAGATAAAAAAGTCAATGGCACGAGCGGGATTCGAACCCACGATCTTCGGCTAGATACGCCGATGCTCTACCACTTGAGCTACCGTGACCTCGATCCACTCGGACACTAACTTCCTATCTCAACCCCACCTTTTGAATTTTCCCTCCTTTTTGAAATTTTTCAAATTTTGAGATGAGAAGTTAGTGTCTGAGTGGATCGAGGTCACAATAGCTCAATTGGTAGAGCAGCGGCGTATCTAGCCGAAGATCGTAGGTTCGAATCCCGCTCGTGCCATTGACTTTTTTATCTCAAATAAAAAACTTAATTAATTGTAACAAAAATAACACTTACCCTTGCATATCTAATGTTTGATGTGTCATTTCTTTACGTCTTTTTATCATTACAAGTATGCTGTTAGCGTATTGTTAGTAAAAAAATGTTCGTTTGGAGGAAAGAATTTTTATTACTTTAAAACTTTAATGATTTTATCTGTTAGTTAAAAATGAAGTATATCTACAAATTGTATATATCACTATAATAATATTTATCATTTTCTTCTTCATGGACGTGCATTCATTTGATTGATGTTCATTTATTTGTTGAAACCACCAACCGTGCAGACGGACTATTGATTAATATTATTATTCTATTTTAAATACAATTTATCCAAACATTTGGGCAAGCATTTGATTGGAATTTTTTTTTAAATGGGCAATTTCCTGAGAACGAAGCATCTTTTCTTTGATCGAGCAACTCAACTAAGGAAAATCGGGCCAGAATAGGCATTATACAATATTTCCTCATCAATATTTTCCTGTCGGGTGACGCAGCAAATACTACTCGGAAGTTAATCAACCAATCAAATTTACCGTGCTAAACGAATTCTAGTTCAATTTCGTTCATTGATTAAGCAAGTTAACAATTAATTGAAGTATAATTACCGAAAGAAATAGTATTTTTAAATTTTAATATATAATTAAAAAACAACCTCGTGGTCACTTGATACTATAACTTTTAAAAAATAAATGGTGCAGGGCAACACTTTATAATAATAAAAGTATATTATGCATTTTTTTATCAGTTAAATAATGGATAATAATTTGGGCTCTGGAAAATTGTGTTTACAAAATTTAAACTCGTTTAATAAAAGGAAAAAATTCTGGTTGATTTTAAAGCCATGATATTAAATAAATTATAGCTGTTTGTTAGTTTCTGTCCTTTTTCTAGTAGATTAATGCTTGGCATGAAATTGTTTACCTTTAAATACTCAAACCCCGTTACAGTTAATACATTTTTTGTGGGTATAAGAAATATTATTTTTAAAACATTTCACAAAGAACGTTTTCCGGAACACCAATTTTTCAATTTCCAACCACCTATATGACAATAAATCACAATTTAAACCAGGTTTTTGCAAATTAGGAAGTTTAAGCTACAGTGTTATTCATCTGCTATTCCGAGGTACGGCCAATGAGGCTGAGTTAACCGTTTTACCTGTGGCTCACCCCACAAAAAGGTAATCCCCCGATCAGGGCGTTTATTGCAGCTTGGGGTCGGTTGAGGGAATCGTTCAGAGTTCAGTTCAGCGGCCAATATGAACCAATATTTATTCATAACAAAATAGTTTGTAGAAAGTTGAAAACCCGGCCAAGTTTATTTTTATAAAAATCAAAATATCAAGAAATTCTGAGAGACGTTTTGTATGACTTCATTTTGATAAATTTCGAATTTATAGTTTTAAAATAAAAAAAATCGATATGGTCCTTTTCTATTTAGTCTAGAATATATTTTTATATATTTTGTCCACACCCAGGTTTTTCAGTGAAACTTGCCAAATGTTCCATATTTGCGTGATATGGTGATGCGACAAAGCAAGGTTGTAGTAAAATGAGTCATCATGATAAAGTGTGTAAACATATTTTTTTTTGCTTCATTAGACCAGAATGAACGATGTTTTTAAAACATTTAGTTGTAAATCTATTGAATTACCTTTAACCTTTAAAATGATTTTTAGGTTATCGTTCGTTCACAAAGTCAAAATTGTAGTAAAAATAATGTGGCATCTGCAGGTTTTTTACTACTGTATTTTGATATCAATAACAGGCAATGAATAAAAAATGGATTTTGTGAAGGGCATATTTCACTAGAACAAATTTCAATAAAAAAGTCGAAATTTAAAACGTTCAGACAATGCCCACTTTTGCAATTTTCTTGAAAACAATTTACACAAGTACTGTATTTTGTGCGTACTTTTACAATAGCCAAGCATTTGGACAAGCACACCAAAATTAAGTTCTCGCGTAGAATTAATTGATGAGTTTAAAAGCACTGCTTTCCCACCCACGACTGCTACAATGTAAAAAATAAAAATAAAAGAAATGTGTAGGTGGTTCAGCGAACGGTTCAGAATAGACGTCGCGGACCAAGAGGTAAAATTTCTTCCATCACAACGAGGCATGATCGATCGACGAGAAACTTCCCCCGAGTTAGGTCCATTTCAATCAAACGCGATTCGACATATCCATGAGTCACCGAAATGTACATGTTTTCACACGAGCCGACGTCAAGCTGAGCGTCGCCGGGAAACTTCAATCGTTCGACGCAAATGATAAACTTCGCTTCGCAATTTGTTATCTGGCATGAAAAGTAGATTCTTTAAAACATAATAAAACGGATAATAAAATTATATTTTAATGGGTTATCATCAATCTCTTTTCATGTCATGTTCATTCAGAAAGCTACCATTCTTTGTGCATTGTAATTTGATGGAAAATTTTTGCTAACTTTTGATGAGCATATGAATAAATTTCTACTACTTTTAAATATCACAATTAATATGAAATAACTTGATGTAAATCTCGTGCAAATTCCAAAATTGTTTAAGTCCTACTTTTAAATACAGAATATCTGCATTGTCTTCGAAAAAGTGGATATTCTTGTACACTGAACAGCCAAAAAATTGTTAGAATTCTATTTTATTTACAGAACGGTTTCGATTCATTTATTATTTTCATTAATTTACGCTCAAAATTTTGATTTACAAAAATATTAGATGTAAAATTGATAATAATGATGAAAATATAACAAAAGAATTGAAACTTGATATTCATCAGAGCTCTTCAATTCTTCAGAAATAATAATCCGGCGTTATCTTGGAATAATTTTAGTATGGATTGGTCATAGGACGTTTATTAATAGAACATTGTTTAACATTTCCGCCATATAGATTATCGGGGAAGACGTACTGTTTGGAACATTTTTTATATTTTTTTATTATTTCCTGTACAACAAAATTAGACATTTAACGATATATTGTTATTGAAAGATCTGTCGGACCGCGTTGATGGGGTTGGCGGAGAGGAGCAGGCCATTGCCAGAACTCCCAAGGTTGTGGATTGTATGTTAATTTGGGGTTAGGAGGTCACGAGGCCACCGTCTTTTTAGGCGGCGTGAGTATTGTTAGGATGGGATGTTGAAAAGAGGGCTGAGCTAGTGGATTGGTGTGGGAAGAAAGCTTGGAGTGGAAGTTGTGAAAACGTGTTTGGAATGAGATGACGAAGTCTTTGTGGATGGTATGGTTGGTGCGCGGAGGATGTGACGGAGGTCTTTTGATTGAAAGGATTGGATTCTTTGGATGTTGAGTGAAGTGAAGCTGCACCCCACAGCTCGCCTCCTTAAATCCAATTGGTCTAATTAATGCCTTGTATGTTGTGATTACTCTTTATGGATTTAGGTCTAAGTGAGCGTCTGAGTTGTCAGTCTTCAGTTCAGTTCTTGTCTTTTTTGTGTTACGATCATGTTCCATTAAGTCTGCTGTCAAATTAGAACCCAAGGAAGCGGATTTGTCGGATGGGGTGATTATCTTACTGTGAATACAATGGTGGGCCACAGCCCTTCTAAGTGTGAACGTCACGTGCCGGCTTTTTTGTACATTTGGCTTGATGCGCCGCCGAGTGCACCAGTTGGTCT